TGATATGCAGACTCCATGTCTGCACTCAGACATGGAGGTGCTCAAGTTCCATCTGAATTTCTTGCCGATATTCCTTAAAGCTCTCCCTTCTTGGCCCAGCTCCCACCTATATGCTTGACACCTTTCCTTTCCCAAATAGCCTCGAACAGAGCCCACGATCACACTTGCTACCTGAGCTTAAAGTTGCTAGTGTGGCATCAGGACACTCTGGCTCTGGCAACAACCTTTTCACACCCATTTTGGCTGCAGGGGATTTGCCTTCACCACTCTGTCAGGAAAGCCAGGACTGAAAGGGCTGCAGACTCCAGTGCCCATTAACAGCAGCCACGTTGCTTCCCGGGGTTTTACCACTTTGGTGGTGTACTGGGAGAGATGCTTAGAGGTGGGTGGGCTGCATAAGTCTGGGAGACATCCAAGCAAGCACCCACGCACACTTCACCCAGCCCAGGTTCCTCTCTGCAGGTGAGGATGCCACAAGGACAACAAGTTCTGGCTGCATTACACCCCAAACTGTGGAATCAGGAAGCTGCCAGGTGGCAGAGAGGATTAAATCAGGCAGAGAGCATTTGTGATGTCACCTCCAGGCCGTGGAGCAGAGAAGAGCCGAGTCTTCTCTGGATCTCCACTGGTCTGGAGGAGAATCCATACAGTGCTTCTGGCACTTCAGCCACCACAACCCAGGGACCAAAGGCTGGTTTTGTCCAACTGATGGTCCCCACTGCCCAGTGCCAGGGTTGGAGAGAGCCCTGGACCAGCACATGGGTGTCTAGAGGGGTGGGGACAGTGTCTGCTGAGACCCCCAGACAGGACCTCACCCCAGGGACCCTCCACCAGCTCCCTGTCAAGGGACACTCTCAGCCCAAGAGCCTGTTCCAGGGAACACCGTTCCTCTGGCAGAGAGATGGAGAACTCTCCTTGCTTGGCTGAACCCAGGGCAAGACAAGAGTCCTTCCATACACTTAAAAAATGCGAGAAAAGGTCTTTGCACAGGGAACCTGTGGGGCTTTTGCTGCCCCAGGCAAGGGCTCTGTAGAGTGGGCAGCCCCTGCCCTGCTCCATCCCAGCTCAGGGGCAGAGCGGTGATGATTGCAGGGAGACCTGAGGCACGACTGCATCGGGCCTGGGGAGGGGGAAAACCTCCTTGTCGGGGCACAATGACTGTCTATTCTGCTGATCACAAGCCTAATCCTCTTTGGTTTTTAATTGGCATTTGGGCTAAGCTGATTTAAACCTCTTCACCTTGTTGGGTCCCCCCCTCCCCACTTCTTTCTTTTCTTTTTTTTTTTTTTCCCCCCCACTTTTTTTTTCCCAAATAACAACGCTGCCATCACCAAGTCCCCGGCACAATGACAGCTTTGTGCGAGGGCGAGAGGAGAGGAAAGGGGAAGGGAGGGGGAGAAGGGAAATGTGCTGAACCCACTCGGAAACAATGCGGAGTTTGTGATTCAGACTTGACCACTGGCAAAGGACCCGCTTCAGCTGCGCCTCAATAATAAACACACTGTCCCTTCCCAGCACCTCTCCCCCTGCCCATCACCTCCGCCTCAGGCCAGCTGCCCACCGGTGTGGGCTCTACCTGAGGTCCCAACCCCTCAGTGGGTGCAGCTTCCCCGTGTCCCAGTGCCAGAGAGGAGCCCACGTCCCACCCCAGTCTCACCAGCAAGAGGTCCCTGGGGTGACGTTCAGCAGTGGGATGGGGACGTCCCGGTGTCCTCTCCACCAATCCATCTCTGAGCTGAAGCTGTGTCCCCACTGCTGGGCAGCAGCCCCGGTCAGCCTGGATGGACGCTGGTGCAGATCGCCATCTACGTCGTGCTCCAGGCCAGGGTCTGCTGGTTGGAGGAGGAGGAGGAGGAGGAGGAGGAGAGTGCACATGGGATCAGCCGTGGTGAGGGGCTTCTCCTGAGGGTCCCACAAGGCAGGTCCTGCTGTCAGATCCCCGTGGGAGGGGCTCATGGCTTTTGGAGGGTGGGGGTTTCCATATAGCCCCCACTCTTGGGTTCGTGTGGTAACGGAGCTGATCTGAGCTAAAACAAAACACAACACAAACATCTTCATTACCCCCTTTCCATTTAAAAAAGGCAAATAAACCTCCCCAAAGACCCCAAAAGAACCCTTTGTGGCTGACGTCTCTCCCAGGGTTTGGGAACAACAAACCAACAAACCTAGAAGAACAGATGTTAAACACAGAACAAAATCCCTGGATGGCTGAGACCTTGGGCCGACTGGTCAGCAAGGAAGGTGCTGGTGACCACAGAGCTGGTGACCATGGAGCTTTTGGCCCCTCCTTGTCCCCACGAAGTGGTCGCCGTGGGCTCACACCAGTCCCCAAACACTTGCCACTCGGCCCATCTCAGCAGAGTGACAGTGCCTGGTGTAAGAGCTTAGGGAAAGCCTATAAAAAAATGAATTTTTTTTTTTTTTTAAACTGCACTTACCAGGATATTCCCTGTGAACTTTCATGGGGTGGCAGAGACCTGCGATTCGCCAGCCAGAAAATGAGCTTCACATGGGATGAACTCATGTCCTCCCTGACAGGAAGAGAAAGAAAAGAGGATGGGAACACTTTAAATGTCAGCCTCATGTTCCCTGTCTGGATTACACCAGGATAGGGAGATTACAGCCACTTTTCTGGCAGGAAAGGGGAATAAGGAAGAGAGAAGTCAGTTGGAAAACTCTCAGCATCCTTGCAACAGGGCTAGTTTCCAAATCTGAGATGCCCCAGTGGAGCTTCTGCCCTGTGGGGAGCGAGAGGAGCCGGGATCTGCTCTGGGGGGAATTTGAAATGGGGGAAAGCTCTCATTGCCCCATTCCCTGTCCCCAGCAAGTGTGGGGTCAGCCATCATCCTGCTGCTGTCACGGTGGCAAAGCCAATCCCCAAGTACTCAGGAATGACAAGGCAGGACCAAAACCTTTAAATCTAAAGCAAAAAACCACCTTTATTTATTCTTTGCCTTCTGGGAAGCTGCGTTCTCCAGGTTTCCCTCTCTGCCCAGGGCAGTGGCTGCACCACTGAGGCCAAAAACTGAACCCAAACCCAGAGCACCATGTGCCCCTCCTTGGGGGGATTTATCCTGATTGCCCCAAGCACTTCTCCCCCAAGCCCAGGGAGACCCTTCACCAGTGGGAGCCACGTGGAGGGAAGAGGCTTGGGATGTACTCCGAGCTCTGCAGGGTTCCCCCCTTGCCGTTGCAGTAGGAACCAAGCAGGAAAGCTCCAGCATTGCACATCCCTGCCTAAAAATAACAAAACCAGGCAGCCCTGACCCTTGTGCTGCCAGCCCCTGCTCCAGGTTGCTTTGGAGCATCCCTACACAATTGTTTTATATTTTAATAATATATTATTATTAGCTTTGCATATTTTTCCTCTGTGTAAACTGCTTTCAGCTGTGGCCACTCACAGGCTACACATTGATTTAGACACCCAGTATGGAACTGATGTGCCTTGTTTAAGAGAGGAAGGGCTCAGGCCAGGGAAAGAACCTGCTCTCCTGTCCATTAGTCCCATAAATCATTTATAATACCACAGAAATCAGAGATAATCTGATCCTGTGGCAGTTCAGTGATGGGGAGCCCAAGTAGCACTGGTGGGAGCAGAGCAGGGATGCCCAAACCCATCCTCTCCTTCCAGCCCCACTTCCAATCCACTAATGTGCCCCATCCCGGGGAGAGAAGGAGGAAAAAAAAAAAAAGGAAGAAAAAAAAAAATCCCCCAGCACGGACTGAAGTTTATAAATAAAAGCAGTGAGAAATGGGCTAAGTAGCTGCAGCTTAGCCCAAGAGCTAAGAGCCTTAGTGCATTTTTGCAAGTTTTAGGGAAGTGTTTCCCATTCCTGACTAAGCACGTTTGGCAGGCGGAGCGAGCGCGTGGCCACACGCCCCGGGCAGCTCGATCTGAAGGGGTACAGTTGTGACAGTCACCCCTTCCCCAGTCCCTTCCCACCTCACAGACCCCACCAGGGACCAGGACTGAGAGGCTTCCCCACGGGGCCGCCCCCAGCCAGGCGCGTTCGGGTCCCCCCACCACCCCGTCAGCCCACTGGCAAAAAAATGTGATTTCTTTTCCTTCTGAAAGGATAAATTTCGAAGTGGTTTTAATCTGCTTTCAGAATTCCCGTCACACCAGGGTTAAACTCACTCAGCATATTTAGGCTTTTTAAGTTTCCAGGTCTCATGGCAACAGAGGGATGGGGAGAAATTAAAAAGAACAACAAACGCGGCCTCATGGAACACCAAGATTTTCACCTAACCCACAAGCCTCTCACAACAGGTCTTCGGATAAAATACCCCAAAATATTTCAAGTGCTGTAGTAAAATTAACCAGTTCACACCCCAACTGGTTCCATGGGGAGATTTTTCTCCCTCTCTCATATTAACCTGAGCACAATAACTTTGTGCCCACAGATCATCTGGACCAGGTGAAGTCTCTCACACCTCACCTTGTCACGCACAAGGAGGGGATGGAGTCGCTCATGTTTCACACTGATTTCCCCCCCCCCCTTTCCTAAACAGCCCCAAAATGGTTTCAGTGGCAAAAAAAAAAAAAAAAAAAAGAGGCTGTTGAATTTTCCAGTCCAAAAGAGGGAGGGGGGTAAAAAAAAAAAAAAAAAAAAAAAAATTAAACAGCTGTTTCGCTAGTGCTATCATAGCACACAAAGAATGAAATGCCATCCGTTGCATCGAGGAAAAAAGACCACGCACTCGCTTTTGGTGCCGTCCCCACTGCAGAAGGCGAGACAAAAGGAGGTTGGTTTGGGGTTTGCGTCCGTGCCTCGTGTGTGACCGGGGGTGTTTCGTGGCTGCGACGCCCCGTCCCGCCGGGAGAAGGGAAATGCCCGCGGCCGAGGCCGGGCCGAGCCCCGCGGGGCTGAGGGCGCGGTACCCGGGGCACGGCGGGCAGGATCCATCCCCACCCGAGGGATGCGGCCGGGAGATGCGGCCGGGATGCAGCCGACCGCGTGGCCAGGGCCAGGGGAAGGGAATCAGCCATTTTACACGTCAGCCGCCTAAAATGGTGGCTCCCACCTTTTTTTATTCCCCTTTCCTGCCACCGTTCCAGCACGCATGCACCCGCAGGGAGGGGAGGGAGAGGGGCCGCAGCCCCCCGCGCGAGAGGGCGCCGGGAACGGGAGCCAAGATGGAATTAGAGGGAGAAATTAGAGGAGGGGAAAAGGGGGGGAAGCGGGAAAGGATGCGCTTCGCCTCGACACGGCCCATCCGCCCCTCGCTTGGCTTTGTGCGTCCTGCGGAAAGAGAGGCAGGAAGGCATCGAGGGGGAAAAATGGGGGGAAAGAAAGGGGGGAAAAGGAGCATTTGGGCGAGGCCGGCGAGGGGCAGGGATGCGCGTGGGGTGCGGGGAAAAAAAAATCTTCCCTTCTTTCTTCGCCGACCCCCCTTCGCCCTCCCCGCAATCCCGCTTTGACTTTTCCCACAGAAGTAGCCAACCTCCAAGAATGCAAATGACATTCATTATGCAAATGCATGCAAATCAGGTTTAACTATCGGAAGAAGGGCTCGGAATTTCTAATGGATTAACTCTTTCGCGCGCGGCCGGGATAACAAGAGCCTCGTGTCTTCCTTGGGGCTTTGTGTTTCCCAATGCATCCCAGGCACCCCGATCCGCAGCCCTCGGTGGGCACCGTGGGCCCTGGGGAGGAGCCTTGGGTGGAACAAAGCACCAGGAAAATACCAACAACAACAGAAAAACCCCACTGGCGTGGGAGCGGCTGCCCTTCGATAAATGTTCTGGCAGGAGACAAGACAAAGCAGGCTTAAATGCAGAATTAAGGGAAAAAAATGGATATGAGTAGAAAACAAAACAAAACAAAACCAAAAAAGGAAACCGAAAATAAAAGAAAGGGCAAAACCAGGAAAAAAATAAAATTAAAGAAAAATTAAAGAAGAAAAAAATAGAAAGGAAAATAAAAAAAATGTCGAAGGAAAATAAAAAATCGAAAAGGGAAATAAAGAAAATGGAAAAGGGAAAATTTAAAAATTGAAATGGGGAAATTTAAAAATTGAAAAGGGGAAATTAAAAAAAGAAAAGGGAAATTTAAAAAAGCACAGAAAATTATAAAAAAATATTAATTAGAAAAAGGAAAAGGCAAGGAAAGGCAGGGAAGGGATAAGCAGGCCGCTCTCAGCAGAAGGTGAAACCTTCCCTGTGGTGCGGGGAAAGGTTCTGGCAGCCACGAGGGTTCTGCTGTTCACACCCAACCCGCTCACCAGGGCGGGCACGGAGCCACTGACCCTTCATCCACTGGAAACAAAGTCACGAAACGCACCAAAATCCCATTCTTCTTTTTTTTCACCTGCTTTTTTCAGTGAGGAAAAAAATTAAATTATGGTTTCCCCCGGTGCTTGATGAGCCTGTTGCCCTCCAGGGAGGGAGAGAGGAGCAGAAGGATGGCAGAGGTGGCACAGGCCCCCCATCCCCATCCCCGTGACCCACCTGGCACCTCGGGATGCTCAGAGGGTATTGGGAACATCCACAGCATCGGCGTGGGATCGCTGCCCTGCTCCTCCAAACCTCTGGGAAAACCCCCATGCCCAATCCCAGCCCCAAAAACACAACGGCCTCCTGTGCTGGGAACAGGAACAGGAAAATTCTGAGTGCGTGGCCTCACCTGCTCACCAAATGTTGGGATTGCAGGAATTACGACTATTCCAATGGGCTGTAAAGTGGAGAAACAGATGCATTGCAGAATAATAAATATTTTATAGCAATGCTGTATTGATTAGCAATAATTAAGCGGTTTAGGATTGTTGCTGTGTTTTCCCTAAAAATTATTCCTCATTTGCTCTAAAACCTCCTGATTTTTCTCTTGTTTTCTATACCTCCTTTTATAGTTGATCTTTTTTTTTTTCCCTATCTAATTAAAAACTCTTGTTATTTAAGCTGGAAGCTATCGAGACCAGGAGAAATAACCTGAGCAACGGCAAGAATTTCCCAAATTTCAGGGATTTGGTTGGAGACACCATAAAAATCATCCTTTTAGAGTCAGTCTGATGTGCTCTGAAATGCACAAACCCAGAACTACCGGTCAGTTATAAAAAAATTAAAGCCTTTTGTTTTGTTAAGGCAGTCCCAGGCTGGTAAGGCCTTTGCAGAGCGTAAAATATACTCGAGGTTTGCACTTTGAAAAATGAAAAAAAAAGAAAAAGCAAGCCCTTTCCCTATAAAGAAAAAAAAAAAAAGGTGAGGGAAAATTAAAAAAAAATAATAATTAAAAAAAACACCAAGGAATAATCTTTTTTTTAAAAAAATAAAGCACCTGCAATTTAGTTTCTTTGTCTTCAGGCCCTCAGCCTGCAGAAACAGGAGCCTTGCCCTGCTCCGCTCATCTTGTTTTGACTTCAAGCCCCAATTTCCAAGTTCACACATCATTCCAAAACTGGAATTAGGTGATTTTTTTTTTTTTTTTAATAATTATTGTGAAGGATATTTCTTTAAAGAAAAAGGAGGCAGTGCAGCAGAAGGGCAGCAGAATGGCTGGGGGGTGCTGGTGGGTGCAGCCGTGCCCGGGCGCAAAGCTGGCAGCGGCAGCTGCTCATCACTAACGACTAACGTGCAACTGCCTTGTCCTGGTGTGGGGCTGAGGGGACAAACGCCTTCACTGCTGCCTCAGGAGCGCCCAAACAGCACAGAAAATGTTGTTTGCCAGGAAAATAACAAGTCAGGATGCACTTAACAAATACCTGGTGTCACGGGCACCCCCCGGAGCTGCGGCAGAACGGACCTCGGGCTGCAGGACAGAAAACCAAGGTTGGGGTTTAGCACAGCGTCAAGTTAAGGACTGCGGCAGAAATTGCTGAATTTAAAAGGTCCCAAGTGGAGTCCTGGGAAAAGGGGTTCGGTACCAGCTCCAAAAGCGATGTAAAAATTTTTAGTAGGTTTTTTTTTTTTTTTATGTAAAAGGCCCATTCATTCACCTCTTTTTGCCTTTCCTTCTCTGTCAAGTTTCACTCCTCACATCCACGTCTGTTTCAAACCCAATTGTTCTGCTTTTCCCTACCCTTGATGCATCTCTTTGGCCCTGGAAAACTCCCGAAGGCACCTGGATGTGGCCTTTGGGCCCAGGGTGAGAAAAGAAGTGCTGTGGGCACTTGCAGACTCTACATCAACCCATCGAAAAATTCAGCTTTCCAAATGTTTTAATCCCTTGGCATTAGAAATCAACTGCCAAAGAACACCCTCCAGGAGTGCTTATCCACACAGAGGGTGGAATGGAGCCTGGCAGCTTCCACAGCCATTCCCTGTGTGGAGGGACCTGCAAGATCACAGGAACGAGGGAAAAATAAGAGAGGGGTAAAAGTTACAAAGGAAACACATTTCTTGTCAAGAATTTCAAGCAGCTCCTCAATGAGGTGCAGGGGCTGCACATCCCATGGGAAATGAGCAATGGGAGCAAAGTGACCCCATACAGCCACTTTCTCCTCCATTTCTCCCACCAGCCACTTAAAAGCCACTGTCCAAGCTTTCCAACACATCAAGGAGTTTTCTACCTCCAAAGTCCTGTTTTCCCCCAAAACCCCCATGTTCCCTCCTTGCCATAGGGGTGTTTTGCAGGTGGGATGATGCTCTAGGCTTCACGTGGCCCTGCTGTGGGGAAAAGATGGGCTGGGAGAAGGTACTGCTGGTCTTTGAATGAAAAATTAGCAAAGGCAAGGACACTTGGAAACGCCAAATCCTTGGAATGGGACGCGGTGCAGCAGGAAAACCAGCAGGGGTGACAGTCCCAGGTGTCCCAAACCAGCCTTCCCAACGGAGGAGAGTCTTTAGAATCACAAAGTGCTGTGGCAAAACCTCTCAGTTTTCCTACCAAGCAGGACCTCCGTGGGTGTTTTAATGAGGATCTGGGGTCTGGGCTATTACAGACAGCACAAGGTTTCCCTCCTGCTCTCCCACATCATCACTGGCCCTGCCAGGAGTGACCAGGGGACAATCCTGCACCAAGAGACAATTAAAGCACTTTCAGGGAGAATCCCAACTCCTGCTAAGGGCAAGAGGAAAAGAAGAATTTTGCAGCAGCCATTCAGACCGCCTTGTGACAGTTGATGCTCGTCACCTCTTGGGATGCAGCGGGATGGGGAAGCGCCCTTGGACCACGAAACAATTTGCAGCGGGGAAATTTGGAGTTTGATTATTGGGCCTTAAAATAAGCATCAGGCAGAGGCTCTAGATACTGTTATTTTTGGAAACAAGGGGCTCTCGATACTGTTATTTTTGGAAACAAGGGGCTTTCGATACTGTTATTTTTGGAGGCGGTGGCTCCTGATCCTGTTATTTTTAGCTGGTTTAAACTCATCTCACCAAGCCCTTTTTTTAAAGCCGGCTCCCCAGCCTTTCAGGGCCAAGATTTATTTTTTGGTTTTGTTACTAGACCCAATTCTCCAGTTACTGGGGCTGCCGATAGTGCTCTTAAATAAAAAAAAAAATCAATCCCACCACTGTTTTTTTTCTAATTTTCCCAAAGAACCCGAAGGCGTGAGCGCTGAGAGTCAAATTTGCCCAGGACCCGCGTTCCCTAAGAAAGCAGGGCTCATTCGCCTTCCACAAACTCCGCAGTGGCAACAAAAGTCCCTTTCAAGCCCTTCCAGACGCAAGTCCTTCAGCTCAATTAGTCAGGCACACAGAGACACAAAAAAGCCTCCCATTCAGGCCAGTGGCTGGCTGTGGAGGACAAGGGCGAAGAAAGGATCTTTCTCCCACGCTTTCACTGGGTGTCATAACAAGCAGAAAGCCCTCTTACGGGGGGATTACTGGAGATAAGAGTCCGATGGAGGGGCTGGGGCAGGAGCTGGGGTTGCAGAAGGAGGGGAGGAGGGGATGGGGATGGGGTTGGAGGTTGCAGCTCCCGAGGTCGGGCGAGCGCGGCCGCCGAACGGCATCGCGGTCCATCGAAAATGTTTTGTTTTGTTTTGTTTTTTTTAAATAAATAAAAAAAAATCCCGGTATTCCCCCCACCCCGCGCACACACGCGCAGAGTAATCCCGGCTCTCCATGGCAACCCGATCCGCGGCCATCCCTTGCACCGGAGGAGGGAGGCAGCTTTGCCTTCACTCTTGGCCGGCTTGTTCTGCTGCTGGCAGAGCCTTGGCCGAGGGGGCAGAGTGGCCAGGCAGCACAGCCAGGCTTCCTCCTGCTCCCCACCTCCCCAAAAATCAGCGGTTTCCTAGAGCAAAGAGAGCCAAGGAGATGCACAGCTCGGTGGGAAGGCTCTCCCTCCAAAAACCCACCTCACCCTGCTGGTGCTCCTGCAGGTGGATGGGTTTAAGGTTAAGAAGATCTTTTCATTAAAAAGAAAAAAAAAAAAAAAAAAAGAAAAAGAAAAAGGAGAGAGAAAAAAATAAAAAGGAGTGTGTGTTAGTGTGTGTTAGTGGGTTTTGCTGTTCAAAGCCAAAACAAAGAGGAAGAAGGGAGAAAATTCCCCAGAGGGGGTTTGTCTGCAAAATCGTGGGGTGGGGCAGTGGCCCAGGGCCATCCATCCCCCATGGTCCCTGTCCAACCCAGCACAGCATCCTGAGGCCTCAAACCTCCTGCCAGCCAGAGGGGTTAATCCTGCACCTCCCGACCAGGCCCCAGCAGGGAGAAAATTCCTGGATCCTGACAGTGCCCTGCAGGATTAATCAAAGTTCCTGAGTGAATTATGTGCCTAATTCCCTTGAACAATCCAAGTTATATTATTAATTCCCCATCACTTTCCCATTGACTCTATAGGTGGCTGCAGAGGCCAGTGCCCCTCCATCTCTTTTCAGAGATACGAGTCCTCTCCCAAAACCAGGGTGCAGAGGCAAATTCAAAGCAAATGCCAGAAAATGGGGGGTGTTTTTCCTCCTGCTCGGCCCCAAGCCCCCACAGAGGGACTGCCGCCACTCCTGGCACCGTGGAGGGCCAGGTGACAAGAACATCCAAGTTCAGCGACATTTTACGAGGCTCAGGGAGGGGATCTAAACTCTCCAGCTCGGGAACGGAAAGCCAAGAAACTCTCTCAGAATACATTATCCCGTAATTGTAGGGTTTCAAGCACTTTCTTCCCAAGCAGCTGGTGCCTGCTGATGCCAGAGGAAGGTTATTTGGCTCAGGCACATTCCTGCCGGGTTCAGCCTGGGAATCCCTAAAACAATCCGCTCCTGTGAAACACTGTAAAAGATGAGTATTTCACTCATCATTCATTTCATTAGTTAAAATAGCAGAAATTTCCTAAAAGCCAGAGGAGGAGGGACAGATGAAACAAAGCAGATTCCCAGGGGAGAAATCTTTCTCCTTCCCAAAGAGCACCCAGTGCCTCCATAAGGGTGACAAGGATCTTGGGGACTCCCTTTCGTCTTTCCAGAGCTCCCACGCTGATGCAGCAGAGCTTTTGTGTTTGTTTTTTTTTTCAATAAAGGATGAGTTCTGAGCTTCCAGCAGGCAGGAACCTTCTGAAGGTCAAATTAAAACCAGTTTACCTGCCTTGACCTGAATGCTGCAAGGCCACAAGATGAGCCAAATGGACCCCTTGAGCCACACACGAGTCTCCAGGCCAGGCCATCCCACCACACCAAGGAGTGTCCAGTGTTTTTCATTCCCAGCACTTATTAATCTACCTTTTTTTCCCTTTTTCCTCTGAGAGCCTGCATTTTCTCCCTGTCCCAAAGCGAGCTCCATCTCCTATCCTCCACCTGCCTTTAAAGACTCTTCACATAAGACCCAGCAGATGCACCCAACGCGGATTCTCCATCCTCCTGCTCCAGCATCCTGGCACTACCCCCTTTGTCCCTGCTCCAGCAGTACTAAAACCCCTGAAAGTAGAATTACAATGATTTTTACACCTAGCCTGGGCTGTCAAAGCCAGAGCTCAGGCCGCAGCCGCCACTGCTGGGTGAGGATTACACAGCTTAGCTGTACAGTTACAGATGCCAGGTCCAAGTCTGGTCTCAGCTGCAGCAGGATAAATCCTGGAGTTATTCGGCGAGTAAGAGACTGTGATCCACTGATAACCAGAGGTGGGCTCAGCCAGGAGCACTGATCCGAGACCTGCCTGTTAGCTTTGCAGACTTCAGTACATACAGACACCCCCACCTGGAATCCCAGCCCCAGGATTCGGGGGGTCCCCTCACAGCAGCTGGCACGGGGCTCCTGAACCAAAAATTCCCAGGGCCGCCACAGCTTTCCCGGCAGCAGATCCCGCCCGCTCCCGGCGGCTGCCACCCCTTCCTTCCCCTGCTCACACAGCGAGGTGTCGGGACTCACACGCACACGTCCCTTTCTATATCTGTCCCTGAAAATCCCGCAGGGCAAGCCGGAATGCGGCCCCAGGACTATTTTTAGGGTCCCCCCCTGTCACGCTGGTAACGCTGTCACACAAGCCCGGGCCGCAGAACCTCCCGACGCGGAGAGGCGAAGCCGCCGGCGCGGGCGGCGAGAACCGCGGCTCCGCTTTCACATCCAATCACCCCGGCTGCATCTGAGCGACCTGCCCGCTGGCGAGCGTCTCCTCCCAGCAGCCTGAAGACCACAGAGCTCATCATTTTCCTTCCAGCTGTACCCCCCCCTCGGGGCACTGCCACCCGCATCCCCCCCGGGCGGGGTGCGGTGAGAGCCATCCTGTCTCGTTTTTGGGCACTCAGCACCACGTTTGCAGCCTGGGGTGTTAAGAAATCCCCTCTCCCTCCGGCTCCTGCCTCACAGAGACCGGCGCCGGCTACTCTAAAACCGTCACAGGGTGGTGCAAAGCACCTTGCAAAGTGCTCCGGATCGGCG